ACTCACCCTCTTCCTGTCCACAATGTTGAGGTACAGTGTGGTGACCACACAGCCAATGGTGTTTGCCAAGAGAAAGATCATGACGTACTTCCATCTTTGCAGCTTGACATCATCAGGGGTACTGTGGGGGGGGTTATATAATATGTATCAAGCAGGAGCTGCGCGTGTGTGAGTGTATATATTAAAGAATATTTTGCGTATGTCCATTTGTGTGCTGGAGGGTGCGATTGTGTTTTTGTGAGTGTTTGTGAGTATTTGTGTGTGTATGTGTGTGTGTGTGTGTAAGTGTGTGTGTCAGTGCGTTTGTGAGTGTTTGTGTGTATATGTGTGTATAAGTGTGTGTGTGTTTGAGTGTGTTTGTGTGAGTGTGTGTGTGTGTTTGTGTGTATGTGTGAATGTATGTGGTTTTTTCTATTCCTTGCCCAGTTCACAGTGTTCACGCAGTCCATGCTATTTTGTAATTTATGAGGTGAATGAGACCCTATTAACACAGTATATTCTTTGACTATTTCCTTCAGTGGATGACATCGAGAGAAACGACGGCTCCCCGGAGAAGCCTTACTTCATGGGGAAAGAGCTCATGAAGCTTCTTGGAAAGAAAAACTTGAGGCCAAAAACTGATGATGAGAAATAATGAGCTTCTCAGCGAACAGGGTGTTCTTGGATAGGACAGGGTGAATAACTCATCAGGAGAAGAACGGACGTGGGAAAGATGACAAAGCTTCAGAGACAAATTTTGGAGGAACTGCTTTGGACATAGAGAAAGACTCATTTATGGGCCATGGACAATTGACCGAGAGTTTTCATTTTTTATGTTTTTTATTGTCCCCATTCCTGTTTTCAACCGTAGTTTTCTTTTGGCTGTTTTCTACTCTGTTCTTTTTTGGTTTGGTCATATTCATATTCACCTGTCTACCTTTGCCATGTCATTGCACTTGTTATTGGTCAAACTCAAATATTTCAATTGTTTTAAATGACTGTCTTATCCTAACTTGCCAAGAAAAGGGTTAAAGATGTAGAGCAGAGGAGCCATACAAGTTGTAGTATACGCAAAATGCTCGTGACTAGAATCAGAGTATAATAAGTATGTAACATCTTGCTTGTCAGTTGGTCAAATTACGTGTACATCATCAACGCTTATTTACCTACACTCAAAAAAGAGTTTATAGTTTTGTTTATATTTCTTAATTGGGAAATTAGAATAATCTGGAGTTGAATGCTACTGTTATATGTGCTGTTGGTGTTGTTGCTGTTTTTTTATGTTACTTCTCAAAACTGTATTCTTAACACATTTATTCTATACAATACTCTTTTGTAAAGTATCAAGATAAATTTTGAATGTTTGAGAAGAAAGCAAAACCTTTGTTAGCACATACTCATTGCAATATATTCACCAACGAAATTCATCAAGCGTGTAGGAAAGTGTGAGGAGGGTAAAGACGGACTGGCCAAAGTTTCAGACAAGATGATCAAAGTGAGCTTGATGAAGAAGATCCTTTTTACTTTTTTTTATGACATTGCTTATTGTTTCTGTGTGGTTGTGCCTTATAATTCCACAATGTGTCTTTCAATCCGAATCATGTTCTTTTATCGTTATCCTAGCTCATTTAATATATTATAATAATTACTTTAAACTTTTAGTTGTTTTTCTTTTTTCTCAGTAGTGGACTATAACTTTAAGTTGTCCTTTTAATATCAATTTAATAGGCCTATCGCTTTACATTTACGCTGAAGCCAGGAAAGGACTCCATGTACTAATTCTGTCCTATACGCTTATCGAAACGCAGTCTGTATTGCAAAGTCCTTTAGTGACTACTGATATTGACATTCAAATGACTGTAGGCTACTTAATTTCAAAGGGTGACGGTAACTGGTTTTTAATTCTAACATGTTTTTTTGTATTTTTCGTGCCCTGATTGTAATAGGTGTAATTTTAATGATCCCCTAGATTCATTTGAATATTTCATTTCTTTGACAGCAGGGTTTTTACATAAATGTCTAAATGTGTATGCTGTCACACAACTTTTTGATCAGAAAACAGCAAGGGACTAAATGTTTGCAAAGGGTTTTTTGTTTATTTTATGAAAGTATAAATAGTCGTAGACTTTTGATTATCAGGCCTCACAGTAGCTTAAAAAGTGTAGCTTAATGAAGAGATAAAATTACATGTGTGTGTCATTTGAGACCAAAATGTTCATTAAAGTGCATATTTATGTGAAGTAAGGAGTTACCTCTAAAAGTGGGACTATTTATTTGAAAACTGCCCAAGCTAGTGGTGAGTAACCATTTTTTGACCATGTTTAGAGTGGCAGATTTCCCGACGAATGTGGATCATTAGCTTGTTGTCAACTTATGGACTAGCACATGAATTGGTTCTAGAAATACGCCAGCATTTAATGAAAGGTGTTTCTTAAGATCTAATTCCTTCGCCCCCAAAATATATATAACGTGACTTACAGATACTTATACTTTTTATTGACTTTACATTTATATATATATATTAGTATTCATGTTGAACCCATGGAACTGCTTAATATACATGACCATGAAAATTCCTTATATTTTAGACCTGTGCATGTTTTATATGCGTAAAAAGCAGGGTTATGTAAGTACAGTCAAACCTTGTTGTACCACCAGCCCCGTTTACCGCCAGGTTTAGCCAGTCTATGAAAAGGAACGTCTAGCTATAAACATTTTATTTATGCTTTTACACCGCCATCCATCAACTGTCCGAGTTGTACTATCCTTATTAAACTAAACTAAATTTGTCTCGCTGTACCGCCTGCAAATTGACTTCCAGAGGTATGCACTACACTCGGCATACAACATCCACTGGTTGGCTACTTCATAATCTTTCTCCCATGAGAAAGACATAAAGATAGAGATAGAGAAAACCCTCGGCTCTGAATACTTGTGCGTATATCATCAACAAAAAGACACTTTTCAAACACAGATCGCACAGCAGAACCATGTTCCTTGACATTAGGCAGTCGGGGCTATACAACAGAGAAACCCCCTTGAACCGCCTGCCCCGCTGCTGCACCAACTTTAAGCTGGTCCCAAGGTCGGTGGCGGTATAATGAGATTTGACTGTATATTGTATTATATTCATGTTGAATAAGAAATCCAGTTTTTTTCATACCAGTGTGCCTCAATATACTTGTTTTACTGAAACTATAAAGCATTAAACTTTAAATGAGTTGGGCCACCTCCTGCTATTGGCTTTGCACTCAGGTAAAAATGTAAGATTGCAAATACAATCTCTTTAATTAAAAAAGAAAAAAAAGATAGATGCCTCCCAACTTTTCCACTCTGGTCAAATTTGTTTCAGAAGTGTTTGTATAAAAGTAGATGGCAATAATTATCATTTTAGTTGCTCCAAGGAATGCAAATTCAACGCATTGCTTTTAACAGATTTTTACCAAGGAATATTCGCTTGGACTTGGGATAAATTCCTTTTTTTTAAATGTAACTTTCAGATTAAAATAAAATTTATAGTCTAAGCATAGATGGATAAAGCATTTCATTGCACCGTCACTTTGGATGATTGGTTAAAGTGAAAAAAAAATTAATGGAAATAAAGGCAAAAATACGAAGAGCCTATTGAAAGCCTTTACGTACTGGTAGCCTACAGAGCAGTAAAGAAAATAAAAAGAACGTTTAAATTAGTAAAGGCAGTTACCTGCTCAGATGGTACTTACTGCAGGTTCTCCTTGTTAGTTCAGTTTAATCAATTTTGTGTACATGTAATGTAATTCTACTTTATTTTATTTTCTGTTCAAATCTAAACTTGGGCTATTGTGGTGTAGGAGCGTAATATTACTATCATTACATTACATGTATTACATTGCAGTGTTTGTGCAGTAACATTTTTTTGCTGATTCGGCAAAAAAATATTGCATGATTGATCTACATTCCAATTTATGCGAGGGTCCCGGGTCCAGTATTACATTTTTCAATTTGGTAAAACAAAGCCTTTTTTAATGCATGGCTGGTTTCCACGCATTTTGTGCCCTTCTGTATACATGTAATACATTTGATTGAACATGTAAGTACATTTGTTTGAACAACCCACTTTCTTTATTTCAGCAGTTCATGTATTATTTTAGAGCAACAATAGCACTTTATGATTTACCTTTAATTCCAGATATCAAATGACTTCTGATGCCAAGAGAAAAAACAGTTTATGAAAATTAGACATCTGAGGCTGGAAGAAAATCAAAAATTTGATTTGAAAAAAACAACAACTGGTTGTTTTTTATTTTTTCTGTAAGCTTATTTATAAACCAAGAAACAACTGAAGATTCATCTTACAGATCTACTTGAAAGTCATTTTGAAATAGTTGATCATAGTCCGCAGGGGAATCAATAATCAAGTAGGCTACTCTGCCGACTTTACCAGTGTTGTTTCTTTTTTCGTAGCTATATATTTGTCGACGGCTATTTTTATAATATACATGTAGGCCTACATAATGTGAATATTGATGTCACTACGCGGAAGAATCAGGCGTTGGTCATTTCTTGAGTGTGTGGGGTTGTTGATATCATCTTAAAGCTTGTTCATTTTCAATGCTTTTGATTTTAAAAAATGCCCTTATATCTTGAATAAAAATCGAGATATTCACAATGTTAATCGAAGTCTAATTTTGCACTCTGGAAATTATGTATTCTTACTTAAGGGATGAGAAACGGGGATGGAGCTTAGATACAAATACATTGTAATTGTATTTGTCAAAAAATGTTGAATTGAGACCAACTGCAACATAGATCTTGTACAAGAAACTGATGAGACAGGTTTAATGGAAGTTCATAGCCTATTAATTTATCAAACACTCGTATTTTTGTAAAGACAATCAAAAACAATGAAATGAATGTTATGGGTGTGGACTATAAAATATGCCTACTTCTGAGTCTCCTTTTCTTTTTCCGTTTTAATACTTTTTTCCCCCCAAAATCAAATTCATTCAACAGAACGTACAACAACCCCTTAAAGTAAGTGAATTTTCTCTTGTAGCCTACAAAGCTTTTTCTTTTCAGGCTGCTAAATGTTACTTCATGCCGGCCTACATATAATGTCATTAATCTCCCTGCACATAGGCTACCCATTCCTGGAGTGTGTTGGAAGGAAGGGGGAGGTAATAATAAATTGATCCTCCTCATGACGAGTGGGAGATAACACCTTCCTTCTGATGGAAGGTTCAAATAGCTATCTATGCTCAGATAAACATGAAAGACCTCTGCTCAATTGACCTTGTTCTCCTTGTTCAAAATGTTCTATGAGAGTGAAACAGTGTGTTCAACTCATTCAAAAGCATAAATATATTTATTGAGAACAATATACTAAAGAAACGATGGCAGTTGCAGGTGGTTGATGGGCGCAACTGGTTCGTCCTACTTCTCTTTTTTCCCTCTATTGTTTCTGTCTGTCCGTCTTATTTTTACCCAGCATGAAATGACCAACATAAAGTCGATGTGCCTCTATTTATTAAACAAACGATAGCAGTTGTACTTGCAACTCTATCTAACTACATACTTCTGTGGTGTAATGCCCGGCTTTAAAAAATGTATGCTCATTTCCCAAACAGGGAATATTTCAAAAAGGTTGTCATCATCTTTCTGGTGGGATGCATTCTTCACAGACAGGACTGAAGCAGACAGCCTCATAAATTATCTAAATCTAAAGAGTGTCGGCAGAAAAGCAAAAAATACACTATCACATCTATAGTTTTATGCATAGCCAGCAATATACTCTGCAGTATTCTATGCAACAAGTGCAAATTTGTCTTGTTTCATGTAACTGAATTTAATATTGACTAAATTGATGTTCTATTACGTAGGCCTACTTCTTCTACTGCAATTTTTATCATGATAATTATTTTGCCAATAAAAAAGCCCAGTTATTTCATATTATAGCCTACATACATCACAGTGACTGCTTTATCAACTCTTGTCTGATCTAAGGCTTAACATACAATTTGTCAATAATAGCCTATATTTATATGCAATTGCTGCGGAAATAAATCATCTTTTGAAAAAGGAAAGAATTTGTTTTTCCTTTTGTTTGAAACAGCATGTTCATATCTGCTACACAGTTGGTTGCCAAATTTGCTTAAAACGTATGACAGTTCAGGGTTTGGATGCAAGTATGGCCTCAAAACATCTCATCCCTCAAAAAACATTTTTCTTCAAAGTCAAAGGTCTGAGCACTGATGGGAGAGCTACATGTTTCTATTTAACATGACCAAAAATATCAACTATACTTTGCCTTGAAGGGTGTTTTGTATCACCATTAATGATCTATTTCACGTGTGTTTACCTGAGAAAAACCTGTTAAAATATCTGGAGCACATAATAGAGTGAGACTATGAACATACCAAGTAAACGGCCGCATTGTTGGTTCACTTGTGACCATGCCAGATTACGATGCGCAGTGGGTGGTTGGCAGGTGCTCTGGTGTGGTTTGCTCCTTCTTTCCTATCAAACATCTATCGTCTTTATCTCCTCTCCTTGTTTTTTTGTGTTTGTTACTCCCTTGTAATACCTCTAATCTTCGGCACTTATACAGCCTAATTTGTTGTAAGTGCCGTAAAACTCTTACGAAAAAAATAATATGATGCTGAGGAATGTTCTACACGGTGTTCTCAAAAGTTATTTCTCTGGGGAAGTTTCTGTGATTTCCCACCAACTAGGCTCTGGTTTATGGAAGAAGACCACCAATTTGGAGCTTTCTCCTCTTAAATCTTAAAGGCATAGTGAACATTTTATGTCTGATTGACAGCAGACCAAAGGCATTGTTGTGTCAGGTTTCCAATCATCACCCACAGATTAGAAACACGAATTCATACATAATTTCATAGAACGCATGTTGTTACTATCACTTTAACTTTTAGATTAATTAAGAAAACAGGATTTAAAAATATGTAAGAATATGAAGCTATTATGGCCTCTTTTTAAAATGCACCAAGACAGCACATCTTCAAGCGCTGCTGAGAGAACAGAATGCATGTCTTCAGCGACTTCAATAAACTTACACTCACAATGTTGACAGATGCCAAATTTAACCATATTAATGCCCAATTAGACAAATGGCTCACCTTTTGGGGGTATTAGTAAGCGTTTTACAGCACTTGCAATACAATTAGGTCATTAAAAAGCCGAATATTAGAGGTTTTACAAGAGAGTAACAATGCAAATCATTACCCTCCCCCCCCCCAAAAAAAGGAGAGATAATGATTAGATGTTGGGTCACTTTAAAAGCTGGCAACTCTCTCTGTGAAATCTGCTTAAAATATTTTCTTTTTCTTGTAATTTGTTTTTATGTCCCCATCAATATGACATCTGTTCTGTATAGGACCTACGACAAAATGAGCAAATGACGCAACGTCCCCTCAAAAAGGCAGGGACCAGAAAATCAGTAATGAAAAGTCAACAATACGTGGCTGCTTTCTTTTGTCAATTTCTTTGTTTCGTTCCCCCTCCCCCCCATAAGTGTATGGGTTAAACTCCCTTATCAATACTATTAGGTTCTTTAAAAAGGTGGGGCCTCCAAATGTAATGTCCATCTCCGATAGGGCCGAGCCAAATGTGTAGAGAGCCTTGAAAACTCCACAAAATGACGGAGAACTCCCAGTCTGGAATTTTCACCAGTGCCATCTGCTACAAGGTCCATCATGATATCAACAGAGGTAACAGAGCGCCCTGAATCTCATAGTTTTGTTAAGTTTGTAAACAAGCTGTACCACACATCCTCAGTAAAAGGCTCACAATTTGGTCTAAGTTTAAAGCTCCTTTTAGAAACTGCAAACTGAACAGAACAAAGTGAGTGAAGCTCCAAGGACATTCATGGGTTTTTTTTTTTCTTCTTCAAGTTTTAGTATGTTTTATAGGAACTGGTAACACAAATAATTCATACGAGCACCAAAGACCAGAGGTGTTCCAAGCGAGTAACGTACCCAGAAAAGAAGGAGGAGAGATCATAAGGATGATAGATGTTTGATAGAAAAGAAGGAGCAAATCAAGGCAGAGTGCCTGTCAACCACCCAGAAAACCGAAAAGACAACACACGTCAAAGAAATCTCTACAAAGGACATATAAACCAAGTTATTCTCTATTTTAGTATACAGCATAATGCCAACTTAACTAACACAGCTCTCTGCATTACTCATAGCAGACAGCCTTCACATTGACAGGGCTCTAGTTACAACAAATCAGGAAGAAAAAAGAAGGCCACATTTGATTTATTTTTAAAATTAATTTAATATGCATTTGCAAGAAAGATTTCAACAACAAAACAATAATATCAACAAATTTGTTTGTTCGCATCACAAACAATTCGGTACACAAAGAAGAGTTGTTTTGTTCGTATGCAGCTACAATATTTACTTTTCCACAATTGTGACCACACAAAATATCGCATAAAACTTATACTTACAACCAACAAAGCACAGTTAGATCTTTATTTACATATATTATTATATTAGGGACACTTTGATATCTTAACACAGCAGTTTGGTATCAGCTAAAAAAAAAATATTAAACAAAAATAATCTGCAAATCTAAAATACAGGCAATTAAAAATCATCAACGTCTAAAATAACACATAGATCTATATTATTATGATACAGAATCAAGAGAAAGAAATTCCTACAGTAAGGTCATAAAACGAGATATTGTAAGTAAATGTAAGCTCATAAAAAGACAGTTGGAAGATATGTGTTAAATTGTGGAGCTGAGTTGGGGGGAGGGGGGGGTGGAGCAATTTCTCAAGCTCAGGCTTATTCCACGCAGATCAAGGGTGAGTGTGTGACGTGTGTGTGTGTGTGTGTGTGTGTGTGTGTGTGTGTGTGTGTGTGTGTGTGTGTGTGTGTGTGTGTGTGGCGTGTGAGTGCAGGTGTGCATGTTTACTGTGTGTGTGTGTGTGTGTGTGTGTGTGTGTATGAGTGTGTGCGCGCATATACGGTTGGCGGGATGCTTATGGGCACAGGGAAAGGTGTGTCATGTATGACTCACACGAACAAACAAAAGTTGAAGATGTAACAATGACAACAAAACCTGTAAAACTTCAGAAACCCAGGCTGCAAAACCAGGTGATAAAAAGTCACTTTTTAAGCTAAACCCGAGGCTTTCACTTTGATTTCATTCTAAATCCCCACTTGTAGGCTCCCACAACTACCACAAATCAAGCGTCAACCCTGCAGTTTTGGAAGCATTCAAAACTTGCGTTTTGAAGTATGCCCTATACGTAATTGCGTTTTTTAAAAATGACGCAAGAGAAAAGAAAGATAAAACAGGCACATCTCAAGGTCTTTTGAGACAGTAGCGGCATAATAGAGCATGGGTGTGAGCATG